CCCCCCCCCCCCCCAACTTTGGTCATCTCCCCTTTTAAAAACCCGGCCTGGTGGGGGGGGGGGGGGACACTGCCATCCTTGCCATGGATGGGCGCGATTCCCCCTCTCTGGGCGGGAGGGTTTTCTGAGCGAAAGATGCCCTTTCTCAACCCTTCAGAAAAATCCCAACGGTCGACCGAAAGGGACTTTGCGGGGCTGTCAACATCTTAAGACGGGATGATGGGGCAACTGCCTGCATGGCCTTTCCCTCACGGGAGAAAAGTCTCTCTGGGCGAAGGCACACGGGAAGCCACAGCTCGCTAATTAAAGCTGGGGAACGACCTGATTATTAGCACCTTTCAGCTCTGAACAAATATCCCGGCACCGATTTCGTATTACATGTACAACCCGGCCGCTTGGGCCGCTCCAGCTGACCGATAGAAACATTCATTTGTCGAATGAATGCTTGCTTGCTTCTTTCCCTCCGGCCTATTCTAATGCTGCTGAGGATGCCCGACAGCTAATGCATGCTATGCGAGGCCTGAGAGGCCTGAGAGGCCTGCGTCGCATTGAAAGAGTTGCCCCGCCCCGACATGCTCAGCGCCATCTCGTCTCGCTGCCTCTTCAATCGGAGCGCATACGGCAACTCCGGCTCTTCACTCTCAAGATCAACATGATGGGATACAGCACATGCGGGCAACGGTGCACTGGTGACGCTATGGCAGCACCTGCACAGAGCCACGCAACAGTCGTACGACCATGGGCATGACATCACCACCCGCAAAAGCCGGCACCTAGATACTCATATTCATTGGGTCGATGTCACGGCCCATGCAGCAGCTCCATCTGCTGCTGACGACACAGTGATGGCCGGGGACTTCTGGGATCGGAGTTCCGCAGAACCTCATGTCATCGACCCGGATCTGACGCATGTTTAAAAGCGACAAATCTTGCAAAACTCATCGCCAACGACCCGATACTTGGCGTACCTTCGCACGCGAGCCAAGTCTTCCTGCTTACCAGATATCAGCCATCTCAGTCGTGACAATGGCTCCAGCCGAACCACACGCGCTTCCCTTCCGCGCGAAGACCAATGTTCCTCACTTTGCAGAAGAGAGAGAAGGATGGAAGGGCTACATCGAGTGGGAGAAATACCCCGAGAAGAAGGAGCAAGCGCAGAAGATCCTGGCGCAATATGATTTTCCGGACGTTCGTGCTCCTCCGTCGTTGGCCTTGCATGCTGCCCCATGGCTCACACTCATCGCAGCCGCCAGAATTCCAACTTGTCCCACTGCCGGACACCAACCCACTTCTCACCGGCGAGCGGTTCAAGCAGTACCACTACGCATGCGGCCTGGACTACATCCCTCGAGTCAGCTGGGAATATGTCCAAAAAGAGAAAGCCAAGGACATGATCCATGTCTTGCAGTTCCCATACAACGGCGAACCGGTCAGAGTGCGCGTTTCGATCACCCTCGTACCCCCTAAATTTCTGACTAGTCGCCAGGATCGCCTCGTCGAGACTGAAATCACTGACAATAAGGACCACTTTGTCCGGAACCATGGCGGTGTACCCGAGATTGATCCTGAAAAGTTCACTCTCGACATTGATGGTCTCGTCAAGAACCCCCGAACCCTCACGCTGGCAGATCTTCAGAACGAAGCGCTGTTCCCTCGTCAGAGCAACGTCGTGTCGCTGCAGTGCTCTGGTACCCGCCGCATTGAGCAGATACACGAGTACCCAGGCGATGGCGACGAGCTCATCAACGCTCCTTGGGGAGAGGGTGCTATCGGCACAGCGCGTTGGACTGGAGTCAGTTTGAAAAAGGTCATAAAATACTGCGGTGGCCTTCAGGACGGCGTGACAGACATTGAGCTCCGCGGCGCCGACACTTACTTCAAGAAGGGCAACGCGATGAACTACCTCGTCAGTGTGCCCTGGCGCAAGGTCAAGGCGCACGAGGTCCTGCTTGCATGGGAAATGAACGGGGAGCCTTTGCCCAAGATGCACGGTTTCCCGCTTCGCGCCGTCGTCTTTGGCTACATCGGTGCCCGCAGCGCCAAATGGCTGTACCAAGTTCGCGCCATACGCGGCCCCAGCCCTGGACCAGTGCAGATGAAGGAATACCTGTACTACACGCCACAAATCGGCAAGCAGAACGCCAAGTTCAGCAACGGCTTCTCCATTCAGGACATGCCAGTGAGCTCCGCCATCATGAGCCCCCGCGATAAGGACCAGATCATCCACGATGGCAAGGTCAAGCTCCGCGGCTGGGCCTACTCTGGCGGCGGCCACTGGCCTGTGCGAGTGGAGGTCAGCGGCGATGGCGGGTCAGTCTGGTACGAAGTACCTTGGCAGAAGATGAGCACAAAGTACTTCTGGGCCTGGCGACTCTGGGAAATTGATCTGCCCGTAGATGCTGAGGGCTGGCTGGAATTTTGCGTGCGAACGTGGGACAATGCCATGAACACACAGCCTACCTACGTGAGGAGTGCATGGTGAGTTCTCTCGTGTCGTTGGACCAGGACACCAATCTGACAGCTGATACAGGAACTGGGGCTTGCACGTCACGTCGTCTGCTCACAGGATCAAGGTCTACAGCATTAACAAGAGCAAGCCTGACACGGCTGCGCGGCTGAAGCAACTCGAAGAGAATGGGACACCCATGTTGCCGATTACGCACCCCATAAAAGTTGACCTCGAATCTGACGAAGAGTACCACGCAGCCATGATCGCACAAGGGGGTCGCGATCCATTAGAGTGACAGCTGAGATGTTGACTCTAGGAGTACCTTTGTTCATTCAAACCTGAGGTTAGACATCTTGACTGCTAAGTTTCAATCGCCACTGCTCGTTTCACTTTCCTCGACGTCACTCGAATGAATCATGAAACGGCCATGACAGCAGCTGCGAGCACGGGCAAGTGTGGTATCTGCGATTGCCGATCAATCGCCCTACAAATCCCATATTTCACATTCAAATGGCTGAACTCGGTGGATGGGGAACACGCGTGTCGTTCGACGAATGGAGAGATCAAGATTTTCTATCACTGGTCTCTGGTCAAAGGTATTGCTACTAAGGAAATGAGACAAATAAGACTGATCTGTCGTGATCAAGTTAGGCTTCACTCCCGCACTCTTGGAGTCTTGCTCCTCTAATCAGCCTATATACGTCGCCTGAGGTCTTCTTTGATGCACCACTGGTGATCTGTTCGGGTATATGATCGCCACATTGCTTTTGTACAACTAACGTCTCCTTGATGTTACAGTCCACCCAGTGCTGCAGTGCTGTTAGCCATAGATCGCAATGAGCAAATGTGCGGGTCAACATACCAGCCGAGTACGCCATGTACCATGTTCTCGACGCCCCGCCATCAATCCATGCTGGCTGGAATGACGACGAGTTGAAGAAGGCGTACGCTTTGGCCGGCTCGATGATGGCGTAGTTGGCGTAAGCGATGCCCTTCCAGGCGTTGTTGATCTTGTCAATGCGACCGTTGCTGAAGTAGGTATCCCATTCCTGTTTGATGAAGGTCTTGGACCGCGAGAGCCCTGACGGCGCGTGGATGGGAATCATGTGAATGCCTTGGATGGCCTCAATGTTCGGATCGAAGAAAGTCGTGTGGTGGACCTTGTTTTCGAACAGAATGCCGGCTACCTTGTTGCCAATGAAGCTAGGCGGCTGGGCCGTATTGTCGGATGTATAAAGGTAGTACTGCTGAAGACTCCTCGTCATGACAGACAATTGAAGGTCGGCCCTGTGGGAGCTGTTAGGAGTGCGCCTCCTGACCGGCCTTGACGTTGTACATACCTGGCAACCATGTTCGTGTCACCGATGACGGTCCCCCACATCTTGATGGCATACATGGCCGAGATGTCCTCGGAGCTAGACTCCTGGTTTTTACCGTCAAGTGAAGGAAAAAGGCCGTGCGCCCAACTGTGTCCATGGTACCAGTCGAAGCTACGGTGCGGCGGGAAGAAGGTATCCAGCACGGTTGGGTTGGCATAATCACGCACAAGCGTGTTGACGTAGTCTTTGTTCTGAGCGAGCCAAGTTTTATCAAGGTAGCCAATGTAGGCGGCAGCGAGGACGTGGTAGCCGTAGTGGAAATGATGGTCGTTGTAGTATGAGTTACCAAAGTCGGCCATTGGATCACGGTTGACGTATGTCGCCGAGGAGACGACTCCGCCCCAGGCACCTTTGCCCCTGTTAGCTTGCTGAAGATGTGGATGGTAAGGGGAATGCCTCACTCTCGTAGATCAAGGGGAACTTTTGCTTATTGGTGGCAAACACAGCGAAGGCGGCCTTGAGCTTGTTGAGGCCAGCCTGGGCCAAGGCTTTGTCTCCGAGCATGTCATTGATGACATAAACAATCTGAGCAAACTTGGCAAGTGCCTTGCCGCTGAAGTACATTGAGTCGAGATTCGTTTGGGCGTTCATATCCTGCGAGATCTCAGACAATGCGACAGGCTTGATGGCGTTCTTGACGGCTGTCGACAAGGCCAGACGTCCCCCTCTGGTGATATCCCACGGAGAAAAGCTCATGCTGGTGGGAAGGTTGGACTCGGTCATTGTCCAGACAGAACCAAGAATCGCGACGCCGAGTCCCTTTGTCGGTGTCTGGAGCTTGAGTGCTGAAATACGTCTTGTGGTATCGGCATTGAAAGAAGCAACGTGGTGGGGCAGGGCGTAAGTGTAGATGTTGCCTTTGGGATGACCAGTCTTGGCGAATTTGAAAGAGTATGTTCCAACCGTGCCGGATGTAGAGCCGGTCAGGGTGATACCAGTCGCATAGATACCCGCACCATCGTCCAGCACCTTCTCCGAGCCCGTTGTCTTCGGGTCCTTGGCAATCTGAACGGTACCGTAGAAGCGGTTCCTGCTCTGGACCAGGCCGTTGTTGATGACCTGAAGATCGAGCGCAGCCCCTGAAGTGCTATGGCCGTAAACCCGCCAGGTAGTGCCATCTTCGAGGAGGAAATTGTACTTGACCACGTTGGTCTTGGGGTTTGTAGCTACCCGTACCATGCTACGGATGTAGACACCCGACTGAATCATGGGGGTAGCGCCTGAGAACTGGCCAGTGACGAACGCCATGCCCTGAATGAGAGGGAAGATGATAGAAGGAGGGGACGCCGCATTCCTTTTGAGTCCAACGCGAGCGGAAAACGCGGTCGTCTGGTCCATAGCAAGAAGAGTGTCCTTACCGAGCTCCTTGGCCGACAGGATCATCGACTGGATGCCAACTGGGTTGATGTAGTACGCATTGGCCTTGTTGTACTCGATAGGACCGAACACACGCTGTTTCGGCTCGGTGTGAGATATAGCAATGCCCCAGCTCGCTGCCGGGCCCTGGCCCCTCGACCAAGCGATCGAGTAGGGAAACGTGTAGGTCGGGCCGGTCTGGTCACCGAGGAAAAAGTTGGAGTAGAACTTGTTAGTTTGGATGGGGCCTGACTTGCGAACTCCCAGGCGTGGCGCTGGATGATCAGTCCGCCGGACGATGGATGATGGCGGAGCACTTGTTGCTACTGGTACAGCAAAAATGTCACCTCCAGCCCTTAGTTCGAGCTGTTGAGTCGGTGGCCTTGCTTGTCTCTTCTTCAATGTCGGCGACGCCACTGGCTGCAACAGCGATGTCGGTGAAGGGATAGGAGTGGTCAAGAGCAGTCCCTTGGTCAGAGACTCTATATCGGGGTCGATGATACCGGTCGTGTGGGGTTCGACATCTGATAGTGTTGGCAGCAACAGCGCCGTACCGGTTGGAATAACAGTGGCCTTGACCGTGACCGTCTCATCAGTCGGGATGATATCATCCTTGGCGTACGAGGTCAGATAGTCGCTAGGCAGCGGATCGACGGTCAGGGTGATGGCAGGAGGCACAGTCAGAGCCTGAGCTCCAGCGAGCCAGAGCAGATGGATGGCAGAACGCTTCATGTTGTCGGATGGGTGCATAAAGACCTCTCAGCATCCTCCCCGACAGCCCAGGCAGCGGGCCTGGGCTGTTTAAGGGCGATTTACCAGCTAGGAACGCCATCGGTTGGTGCGCGCCACGAGGATGATGGGTGTTGGATGGCTTGCAGTGAGAAATGAAGGGTCTCGAATCGGGACATCGCTCAAGCGACCTTCGCGCGTGGTCTGGGCGAGACCGAACCCCAAATGGGGACGTATTGAGACAGCGCAGAAGCAATGGATCGATGTGTGACAGGGTTGGCACGGCTTGCATGTCGACAAGTCCAGGAGTCCAGGGGCACAGTCCGTGGTGAATTGGTCCCATTGGCTGGATGAAGTCTACCAAGAGGGGCCAGAAGCTCGTCTGAAGGTCGGAGATATGGTGCGCTCAGCCCTTCAGCCACCAAAGAAGGTAGCCCTGAGGCTATCGCAACCGAAGGAGGGCCTGGGTCGTTCCAAGGGTGGGCGGGACACCATCAGCCCGCCACATACCGGTTTGGGCGGTCGAGATAGGAATGTGGCGACCGCGTGCTCGCCTGAACTGCCCACACGCGGAAAAGACACCTAGCGTGCGGGACGCTGGAATGCCTTGGCCTCTATCGTTTTAGCTCGAGAAACTATCGTCTTAGCGAGCTGCTGATCTGGTCTGATGAATACCATTCACGCTGAAGGCCCTGACTTGGACACAATAGTACTGGATCTGCCGTGTACAAACGGCTGGGTCCCCATTCCGCATCCACGAAGGCGATGCGTGGCTGGCTGGACGTTTCCCTTTTTTTTCTTCTTTTTTTTCTTCTTTCTTCTTCTTCTTCTTTTTTTTTTTGGACAGGCTCTCGAATGGCGATTCTTGATCGTAGTTGATTCAGAGTCGATAATGATTCTTCCATCTTAGAACAATCAAGACAGAGCCATACAGACTAGGGGGGCAGGCAGCGACGGAGTATCTTGGCGGTATTTGCTGGTTCGCAAGCGGTCAGGATTCGCTACGCGACCAACCGAGGCTACCAAACATGCTTGCAGCACCATACGGCAAGGACAAGCAAGCGTACAATGAAATTGACGCAGATGCGGAGCCGACCCTTCCCAGCAGACGACAAGATGATTAGTGTAGTTCATCCCCATAGAACAGTCGATTCATGCCTGTGGGGGACGTTTTGGCCCTGACGAACAGATACTCGCACTTAGAATGTCTCCTGTGGTCGAGAAGAGGACGCAACTTGGCACGTGGACATCCATCACGAGAATTTGGGTTGGGATTGACATCCGCACGCTGCTGACTTCTTCAAGGATCCACCTGAGCGCTCCCCGAGTTCTGAAGTCCTGGCAACAAGGTTGACATAGCACTTTGAAAAATGACTTCAACCATAGGTGCGCAGGATAACCATCCTCTATTGGAGAGTTGCCGAGACTCCGATTGTTGCTAGGGTCAAACTGCATGTAAGACGACGGCGATGGTGCCCAAGAAGCTGACCGAGCAAAGCTTGCCTTGAGGACGTACACACCGTTGCTAGTTCTGGCGCATCAATGAAATGAGGTGCCCTTGTGCCGCAGCGCGTGCAGAAACTCACGATGCGAAGGAGCGGAGTGGTTGCCAGGCCTGGGAGAAAATGCAGGTTAACATTTCAAATAAGATTACACAGCTTGAACCGGACCGCTCAGGACAGCCCTACGGACCCCAGGGTCGTTGTGGGATTCTGGATGGATATAAAGGCCTCGGTCATGCACCCTCATCTGACGCATGTCCGTTACATCTGCCAGGCACAGTATCCGCAAGACTGAGGCACAGAACGGGTCAAAATGCCGGTTCATGTAGCTTAGGGGCACGGACATAAAACGTCATTTCAGAGCGAGGCCAGCTTCACGACAAAGATGACTGACTGGTCTATGCGATTGAGGGGAAATGAGACTGTCCAAAACTCGTACAATCTCAATCATGGCGACGGAACCTCGGCATACTTACGCTATGGTGAGGCATGGCCTCCGCGCTATCCACGAGCGGCCCCCGCGCTACATCGAAAGAAAATGCCAGACCACGTTTCCACAAAATTCGAGGCCTACTTCCATTTCCTTATGTGTGGACTCCCTTGATAGTCCATAGAGGTTTGAGTCACTGACTCACCACCCGCACCGAGGGAGATTGATCTATTATTAGCCATCTCTCATTTTTGCTGA